AAAGAGATAGAAAATCATTTAGAATCATTAAAATAATATGATTAATTAGATATTTAATAATCAATAGATATATTTAAAGAAATACCAAGTATTTATTTATTTATATATATATTTTATTAGTTGAAAGAAATTATATTTTATAATTATCTGAACTTATATAATCATTTTCTAATTAAACATAAACAAATGATGAAAATTATTAAAATTAGATTCAATTTATAAAAGATATTTAAGAATTGATAGATTAGGCTAAAAAATATTAATGTTAAATTAATTTATTTGATTAAACTATAACTTTATTTTAATAACATATTAATAAGATTCAATAAATTTAATAATAAATATTAAATTAAACTAAAAATTAAGATAATAAATAATAATTAATATAAATTTAATATTAAAATTTATTAAAAGTATTAAATGATTATATTAATATTTTTGATAATAAAAATAAATAAATAAATAAATATTTTAATATTTCAAAATTGGAATAGGATTTAATAAAATTAAAAGAAATTAATTAAAATTTAGAAATTGAAAGTAATATTATAATTAAAATAATAGAAACCAATTAATATAATTAAATGTCTTAATAATTAGATCAAAAACATTAAGAATATTAAAAATTATTAAAGGAATAATAAGATTAAAGTATTTTTTTTATTTATATTATTTATAGATTAAAAGTAAATTGAATAAATTAATAATAAATTATAATCAAAAGAAAAAGAATATTTAAATTTAATAGAAAAATTTGATTAAAATACTTAACAAATAATAAATCTAAAAAAGTTAAATGAAGAAGATAAATTAAAAACTATTAAGACATTAGAAGATTAAAGTATTAATTAATTAATATATATATATATAGAAAATAAAGAAATTGTAGAAATCAATAAAAAAATCAATTAAAAAGAATCAGAATTGTAAACAATTTAAAGATAACTTGATATCATTAATTAAGAAAAATTATAAAAAGAAAAATAATTCAAATTAGAATTAGAAAAAGTATATTATAATTTTAATTATTTATCATAGATTTAACAATATCCTAAAACTTTATAATTTTCTAATACTAATAAGGGGGCTAATTGTTAAATAAGTGAAGGTGGTAAAGTTGTTGAATGTAGTGGTGGTGGTTGGTATTATTGTCTTTGTGAATAAGCAATTCCAAAGACTGGGAAAATAGTATTTGCATTCTAAATGATAAGTGGATAACACTTTAATATTGGAATTGGATTCAGAGATATTATATAAAAAAATAATTATTAAAATGCAGGAGTTGGGTATGGGTATATAATTAAATCATAATAGATCATATTTGATTCAAAATAATGGTTATACTTACTCTCATCATAATAAAGATGTAAATAACAAATAATTATCATTCACTTATAAAACTAATGATGTAATAATAATGGAAGTAAGTATTGAACATAAGTATATTAAATGGACCAGATAGAATAATCCATTAGCAACAGTTGTAATTATCAAAACTATTATTAGTAGTTAGAAATAGATACATCCATATCATAAGAATTATATCCATGTGTGTATATTCTTTAATCTAAAGTTAAAATATTGGATAATATTCCAAATTGATAATGGACAATTAAAATGAAATATCATAAATAAGTTAAATCAACATATAATTATGTTTTTCTAAAATTATAACTATAAAAGGATGATGGTGAAATTTCATTAAAAAATAACTAAATTTTAAACTTTTTCTTTATTATCTCAGTTTATTATTAAGTAAATAAGTTTTAAGGTTAACCACCATTTAAGATTTGAAGAATAAAATAAACAGGATTATAAGAGACTTTTTTAATAGAGAGATGAAACTATAAATTTATATATTTGATAATTCTCTTTACAAAAAAAAATATAATTCAATAAAAGATAATTAATTTATTTTAGAAATGTTTTGCTCATTATTGCAATATTAGCAAAGTGTTAATTTGAAAGACATTTTTATCAGTTAAATTCTAATTTAATTATGTATTAAAAACATTTCACTTTGTTAAAAGACTACTCTGAATTAAATACAAAGAAGCTTTTAGGATTTGAAATTTGTCCAATAAGCTCAATTTGTTGTAGAAATCTTAAGTTAATTTAAGTCTCCTAATTTTCTAATGATCATATGATTCATCATTTAAAGTTGTTAATTATTCTTGCTAAAATAAAAGACACTTACATTTTTAATCTAAATTATATTCCTATATCATTTGAAATAATTATTATTATTAGTAAATGTTTAGATAATCTTTTGGTTTTAGTTAATAAGATGGATTTTTATTAGACTAGATTAAATGATGATAATATAATATTCATGGTTCCATGAAATATTTGAGGATTTGGTCTTATGATAAATTTTTAATTCTTTCTAATAATATTAGTTTGAATAATAGGCTAATTAATTTATAACAAGATAATAATGGGAACAACTTTGTTGAAGAATCTTTATAATAAAATAATTTTAATAAATAGTATTTGAATTAAGTAGCTGATATTTGATATTGATTAATATCAAAATTTTAATAATTTTGGTTTATTGTAGTAGTTACAATTGATAGCTATATATAAATTCATTCATTTCTTGATTAAGAATAATTAAAAATAAAGTTGTTTATATAGAATTTCGTTTAAAAACACTTCATCCAAATAGATGAATCTACAATTTAATAAATTTTTAAATATAGTTGAAGAAATTAAGAAATTTCACTTAAAATTAAAATTTTTGTTCTTGCCTTAAGAGAATACAATTTTATTCTGTATAAGAAATGAAATTTCAATATTTATTAATATATTACCAAAAATCATAAAAAATTTTAAATAAGTACAAAATTAATGGTGAGTATTTAGTGTTTATCTCTTGATTAATAAAATAAATTTCACGGATTTAGAAATACATTGTAATCTAAATTTAGGATGATTAATAGTCATACTTTTACTGTTATTAAATATAAATCAATTAAAGAATGTTAATGAAACTTAGTTTAGCAGTTTTATACATTTTTATAGAGTTGGATAATATTTACTATTCAATATCTCCTAAAATTCATTGTTTTTAGAGTAATAATTTGTTATGCTAATTATTGAAAAATTACTTAATTGATTAAATTAATTAGTGTTTTGTTAATAAAAAAATTGACTTCGCTAAGAACCTATTCTAGCTCCACTTGGATCGATTAATTGATGATTTATAGAGCTATAGTAAATATGCTATTTAGAAAACTGTTTCCATATTTGGTCCATAAGTAAGCTGGATAATTGAAGAGTTTATAGAACTTGCTTAGAAATATAACTTTAAAGTTAATATTTCCAAATCCAAATATGAACTAATCTTAAAAATGTAAAAGACAAATATAATATGGAAGTATAAAAGCACATCTTGCTTTAAATATTTAGGAGTATAAATTTCTACTTAGGGTAGCTTAAAAACAATAAAGAGATCATTAAGTCGAAAGCATTTTTTTTATGTAATTAAATTGTAACTTAAAACTGCTACCTTCCAATAAGGCTTTTATCAAGCCACTTTATGATAAGGTGTTTTGATTAACGAAATAATTTTCATTACTCCATGTGAAAGATGGTAATATTTGTATAGGTTTTCAATTAAATAAACACTAAAGTTATCTAATTTTGTTCCTTTTGATGAAATTAATAAGATCTAAAAATAATTTGGTTTGAAAACAAAAGCAATCCTTATTCCGCTTCTTAATAGAATTAGTTGATAATTTTAGAATGAAATTAGAATCAGTCAAAAAAGATTCTTAATATATTTAAACATACTTGGAAAAAATGTTAATGTTGTTCCTTATGAATTTTCAGTCCTTATAGGTTGTATTCTAATGTAATTGTTGATAGATTCTAATAATTCTAAGTAGAATTAGACTGTTTTGCTATATCTGAATCTCAAATTTTTAACATTATTTCTACAAAGATTTTTTTCTGTGATAAAATCAAAGTTTTAAATGAAGAACGTTTAGAATTAATTAATACTTTAAAAAATAAAAATGACGATGAAATGGAGATTCATTATTGATAATATATAAATTTAATGAATTTAATTAAATTATTTGCTATCTTTTGATTGTATAAAATACTTCAAAAAATGTTTATAATAAATTTATAAAAATAATATAAGTAATATGTTATTAGTTTCATTTTTTTTGTCCCATGTTATGACTAGTTTAAGTAGAGATATCATTTGGAGTAGATAATCGGTTGGGAAATTAATTAAGTAAAAATTCTCTTAGAAATTAGTTATGTTCATATATCCAAATTATGATTACTTAGAAATAATTTGTCTTTTAATCTTATAAATTAAAAATTTTTAAGGTCAAGAGCATCATAAAATTGTTCTTGATGACTTATTTTTGAACATCTTTAAATAATGTATATACTTGTGAGACAATTATATGGTTATTGAAAATAATTAAAGGGTAATGAATTGAATTTCATTTGTAACTAGTTAATTAAATTTTTACTATAAAACTTGATGTAATTCCATTTTTATATTTGATAGCTTATAATTTAAAAATGAGTAACTTAGAACTATTGAATTTGTCCTAAGCTAAACTATAAATAATATGAATGAATCATTTTTAATGTAAACATCATTAAATTATACAAAATTATTATTGAAGTATCACGCTATTCGAATTATATTTGAGGATAATACATATTTTAAGGATTTAAAGTATTTTAATAAAAGATGAAGACAAACAGATAAAAAGAATGATATTTAAGTAATTTATTTATAAAACTATTAATTAATTCTGCTATTAATTTGTTATAAATTAAGTTTTCAAAAACTAGCTGTAAAATGACATCTTCAAAAAAGCGACTAGATATTAATTTTATACATTTTAGTATATATGAATAGAGATTGATCTAATGAAATATGGACTGCATTATTGAATTGACCTATAATTTAGTTTTTCTTATTTAGAAATATCAGAACTTATTTTCTGGATTTAGTTATTGGAAGCTAATCTTCAGAAATTTAATTTTAAAGTAATGTAAAGTGTCATATAAATGTCATTTAAGATATGATGTAAAATTATAACCTTTTAAATTTTAGAAGTAAAGCTATTAAGAAAAGAATTAAATATAATAACTGAGAACACTCATTTTAAATAATTTTTTAATTTCACATCGATTATCCTTAACCATATAATATATTTTATATCAAATTATTAATTATTTAGGAAAGTATTAATTTTCTGTAGTAGTATTAATGTTGTAATTTTAATAAGACTACTATACATATAATTGAATAGATTAAATTATTAAGCCAGCTTAATTTACATAAATTAAATCACACCAGTCAATTTCTTGAACGAATTTTAATTACTTTTTTGATGTAATTAAGAGTCTATTTTTATTTCAAATTAATTATATTAGGATTAATTTACTACGAAATCGTCATATTATAATAATCAATAAGGATTACTATATGCCGATTTATTTGTCTTGCCTAATTTAATTTATAACTAATTTTAATCAAGTAGTGATTAACTTCATTGCCAATCCTCTTTATTATAATAATTTTATTCAGCATCATTTTAATAATACAATGAAAATTTGCTCATTAGTTTTTATTATCAATAGTCCAAAGGTAAATAGATTATTCATAATATGGATTAGAGATAGTTTATAGCCCTGAATTTGACACTCTGAAGTAAAGAATTAGACCTCCATAACCAATAAATATCCAAATCCTCCTGATCTGATTTTTGCTGAAGCATTTAAGTAAAACTAATTTGAATTTATATTTTAAAATTTTAATAGATTACAGATAACTCCTTTTAGTGAGCATCTCGAGACTCAACTTCTTTTTTATCAAAACCAATAATTGATTTTAAGTTTTTTTGTTTAAAAAGCTGAATTTAAATTGTAAAGAAAAATGAAAATACGTAATAATAAACTAATTAAAAATGTTGTATTTTAACAGATTAAATAATCGCTTCAAATATCATATTATTTCCTTAAAAACCCAAATAGGTATTTTCTGGTTATTTTTGGATCACTCTTAATGAAACATACACTATTTACAAGATTCGATAGCAAACTCTATTTCATCTTCTCTCTAAACCTCTTATATTTTATTAAATAATATGCAATAATTGTATTAGATAAAGGAAAAGATAATTTCCAATATTATTTAGATTCTAGTAACACATTACAAAATTTAATATTAATTTAAAGTAGTTTTGGTATTGTGCCCATATTTTATTTTAAGTTTATTTCACAGATGTAATTTTTCAAACCTTCAAAATCTAAATTAATTAATTCTTATTTACGATCCTTAATTTTCAAAAATAAAAAAAGATTCAAATTGAAAAAAATAAATAAAGATGAATACAAAATATTCTAATTTTATTATGATGAACATCCATCAATATATAAATTACATTTAGTAAACTGACATATTAATTTGAAATTTATGAACTAAATTTAATAAATTTATTGGTTAACTAAATTATTGAAAGAATCAACTCTATTTTAAATAAAGGATAAATTCGCTAATATCTTAATATCCATAAAAATAAACTTTAAGTTATTTGGTATAGCAAGTGTATAACAAAACTTTATTAACATTACAACATAATATCTATTTGCTAGGTACCTGTTACCATTCTGAATATAATCTTTAATTCTTTAAATTTGTATTTACATTAATTTAGATAATCATACTTCTTAGTTTAATAATAGCATTTTGGGTTTGTGCTTATTAAATTTAATTTTATAAAGTTTTTATCTAATATAAATATAAGAAATACTATCCTTTTGGTTACTCTGAATAAAAAGTATTTCTGAACTGAAAATATTATATCAGTAATTCATATAACTGATTTAAAAAAAAGGATATTTTTTGTATCAAATAAAAAATCAATAAAAATAAGTAAATTGCCGGTAAATAATCAATCAAAATAGGGTCCAACCTTTTCTTCAGACTATGATAAGATAATAGTACAGTAATATCAATTATTAATTGTTTTCAGAATAGTTAATATTCTAATATATATAGATTTGTACTCAGCCATTAATTATTTTTAAATCCAATATGCAAAAAGAATTATCAATAATTTTCAATTTTGAAAAGCAAAAATAAAAAATTAACAAAATATTCTGATATCTTATCAATAGATTAAATTACAGTTTCCAAATTGTTTTTGGTGTATTGAACAAATTCTTTTGGGATTTAACTTATTATTGAAGATGTATTTTGCTAGTGAATGAATTTTCTTTGTTGATAAATTATAGGCAATCATATAATCTCTCGTTATACAATAATTAAAGTATATGAATAGAGAATTTTCTTTTCTCTGTGTAAAATTCATTCTAAGAATAAACTTAAATTCAGAGAATGATTTAATTTTCATTTAAAAAAGAATAAATAATAATAATGCTTAGGATTTCTTTACTTTACTCTATTATATATCAAAGTATCATTCGATATTTTGCAAAGGAGAAAGAATTCAAAAATGTATTAAATTTTAGTCTGATTTTAGCAAAGACTGTATTAATTAAAAAATCAAATTAAATAAAAAGACCGACATAAAGTCTTTGAGTATATATTTATCCCTATAATAAATGGATGAATAAGAAACAAAAGCCTTATGTAATTTATTTATAAAAATTACGATGAACTTCAATAATATTTTATTCTTTGAATTCATATAAATCTTTATTATTATAAAATGAAATCCAAACAGGTTACATAATAATCTAATATATATTTCAAATGAGACCTGTTGGTATAGGTTTCAATCCACTGTTGTGTAAATATCAACAACCGTCAGGTCTGTTATATTCATAGGCATTACTTGGTCAAATCTAATTCAAATTGTTCATATTGAATTATATTCTTTAAATTAATTTTGATGGATTCCAATTAATATACGTAAGAAAGTCTTTAGAGTCTTTGTAGTAAGAAATATAATTACTTGTATAATTCTTCTTATATATATATGTTAGGATACAGCCAACATTTTGAAGCTCTAATCAGAGAACATAAATTATCTAAGATGATAAAAGTACAAGTCTCAGTTTTTTTAGATTTGTCTAATAATTATAATTTGGTTAAAAGATAAAAAGTATTAGATATACTAAGAAATGATTAATGGTATATAGATCCTTAAATGCAAAACGAACTATATGTTTTAGAATGGATATATGAAAAACTATATATTTATGATCCACTAAAAAAAATAAGATTTAATTTTAAAGTGTAGTTCATCATCAGAGCTCCTTGTTAGCTGCCTTCAATTTTGATATATACTTTATTATTTTATTGAAGATCAATAGGGGAGAATAAGATTAAAAAAGCCAACAAGAAAAGTCTTCAGTAAAATGTCCTTCAGATAAGTAGTTTAATTTATTATAGAAATCCTAAATCTTTGCATATGCTAATGATGTAGCTATAGTTACATTTAAAAATGAGCTTCCTGAATTATAGAGAAATTATATATTGAGCTAGTGAAAGAATACAATTTTAAGATAAAATTAAAAATTCTGAATATATAAAAAATTAATTAAGATAAATAAAAGCTACAACTTTTTGGAATTTTAATGATAAGAAGAAATTTTTATGACAATTAAAAATGCTTATTTTGATATAGAATTTATGTGAAATATTCAATTAATTTCAGTCTTACCACTTAAACTAATATGAATACATTTTTTGAAACCAAAATACTATTATTTTGATTTAGGAAGTCAAAATATAAGCCATATGATAAGAATAGCTGTTTAACTGATGATCACCAATAAGTTTTTATTGATGGCAATCGAGGTAATGAAATAATAGATTTTTGTGAAAGTTTAAATTTTCCTATTAAATTGGAATTTCATAATCCTTATAAATCTTATAACAGGTTTAGAGATTAATTATTATTTACATCCAAATTCATGTAAATGATAAAAAATAATGATAACCTTATGTTTCATTTAATATTCAATATTAATGAATGATTAAATTCAATAAAAATGAAACGAAATCATAAAGCTAAACTATATATGCATAAGGATTAAAACAGCCTTCTTGGTTTGAACAAACCTATTTTTTTACTTTAGTTCCAAAAATACAGTTTGATTATTAAATAAAGAACATACTCTAAACAAATTTCTTTTTATTTTGATATAAAATATGTTGTAATTGAACATTATGAATAATATGATACTCCACAAATACAATTCTTTTAGAATTTATTACATTATTAAACATAAGTGCCTATAATTTATTTAAAATCATGGCAATACTCGTCTATACTTCAAAAAAGAGTTGCTTGTTATGGTTCAATAGAAACAAGAAGATCTCATACTAATTTTAATATTATCATAGCATTATCCATTAGTAGCTAAAGCATTGAAACAATATTTAGAATTATTAATTGGGACTCCCTCTACATGAACAATTATTCTAAAAATTTTTTAGTATTTTTATCCAAAAAATTACCAGAACTCGCCTCACAATCTTCACATCTTTATGTTGAATTACAATATGATAATGTTGTAGATTCGCTAGTATAATCATTTACTGTTAATCCTTAACATTCATTTCGCAAACTCATGTTGTTACATTTGGAATCTTATTGTTACTTTTAAAAAGATTAAAAGAACAACATTATGTATATTTTATTCCCAAGAATTCTGAGATTCTAATTTACATTCTTCTTGCCCTTTCTCATGTATATTTTTAATTCAAAAATAAGAGTAAATAAAGAATAAAATTTAGAAGCTTCAAGAAATTTAATTACCTGTGCAATGGGTATTATTAAACTAATTGCTACCTACACCGTGGTATTAAGTAGTTAATTGTGAGTTTTCAGGAAGCCATCATGTATTTCAAAGATGAATAAAACCATACCTTAAATCAAAACCTTATTTATTAAAGAGAGGTCACCTTCGGCTCTAGCAGACCCATTAACAAGTTCTCGACTCAATTTCAATAGAAAGAGAGTATCCAGTAAGATGGCATTAACAAAGGGCAGCCCCCAAAAAGTATCTAATTTTTTCGAAAACTTGGAAAATACAAAGCTATTATGATTTTTATGCTTATATTTCATATTATTATTTATGTAACTTCTGTTTATGCTGATCATTTATTTGAGTAAGGAGATGTTAGAAATTTCAACTATGCAAGTAATCCTACTTTAATTTACTCATCATTTGCAAAGTAATTCTCTTATGTACTTGATGTGTATAATTAAAATAGAAATTTATCTAATATTTCCAAATACTTTAATACCTCAACATCAGATTGACAGATTTTTTCCATTTCATTATTTTAAGGTTCTATTGAAGGTTGTTTGGAAAGTACAGAATTATATCATGGACTTTATTTAAATTAGTTTACATTTAAGGATGAAAGTGTTTAAGTTACAAACAACTTGAATATCAACTGTCCTAACTCTTTATAAACTCATTTTATTATAAAAATAGTAATATAAGGTTCTATATAATTTTTTAGATATTATGCTGAAGGTTCTTAATTTAATAATTTAGCTGTACAAAACTAAGTGACTATAAATTTTTATATCTAAAAACTTAAAAATTTTGGATATTAGATACTATCAAGTTTATCTGATCATGCTTTAATTAACCCAATTATTAGGGATATGTTACCCTATGGCTTGAGTTAAGTTGTATTAATGGCTTGGTATAAACTAATTTTTAAATAAATAAAATGAAATTGATATCATATGGAAATTTACGAAATAAACTATTATTAAAATCAAAATAGCAAAGTAGAAATTTTTATTTCAGAAGGAATTCAATCTATAAAAATTATTTATTATTGGGTATGCATAGATTATGAATAATTAAAGTTAAAAGTATTATGTACAGAATTGAGGTTTTCTTCTTCTGAAGTCTAATTCAATATAGAATAAAGTAACGTTAATGACAAATTTATACTTTCCAATAACTTTATAATAATATATCAAAATTACAAAGACTTCAGCATCATTTACAACAATCCAAATAAACAATTAACCAAAAATATTCAAAAAAAATATTATTTGAAGTTGAAACAGTATTCTAAGTAAAAAGACAATAAAATAATAGATTTAATATTGTAAATCAAATTTTAACTTTAAAAATCCATTCTTGTTTCAATTTTCTAAAATGGAATTCCTTATAGAATTATAGAAAAATTTATATTAAATTAATAAAAATCCATAATAATAAGTAAGATTTTTATCTAATAGGATTATGATATATGAGATAGAGAGAGTTGAGAATATAAGAAATAGATGAAAAATCTGGAAAGAATGAAAATATAGTCAAGAAAGACACCATCATCCATATACTTTATTGGTAATAAATATAAAATTTTTTAATTGAATAAAAGTTCTATATAATATATCTTCTAAATTATTATTTAAGGCAATTTATTAATAGAGAGTTGATAGAATTAATTTGAAAGCATTCTCATTATTCTAAAAGAAAATACAAGGATTTTCACTACTCTACACCTCTTAGAACTCATATTATATTATTATAAGTGGCCTAAATAATATGTTTTCAAATGATTATTATTATTTATAATCTTATTATTATTTAATTGTCTTATAAATAATAATCTGAATTAATAATACAAAAGTGTTTTTATTTTAAGAAATCTAAAAAATTAATCCACTTAATTCTTGAAAAAATCTATAATTAATAGAAAGAATCAGATAAGAATAATAAATAATTTCTATTAAATATTATGGATTATAATGAATAAATATTAATATTTATCTGAGTAAAATCTAAATTCAAATAAGTTAACCCCTTCTACACTAATGAATTGAATTTATTTATAAGTAGATCATTCTAAAGGATTCGTCAATTATTCCTATAGATTACTTAAGTTATCAATTATGGTAGCTTATGGAAATCTACTTATTAAGTTAAGAAATAAAGTATAGATGAAATATTTTTCATAATCTTTACGCTAAATATATAAATCTGTAGCAGTTACATAATTTTCCCAAAATTCAAATCAATCAAAAGATGCAATAATCGAATTAAGCATTTCTTAATTCCTTCAGTGATCAAGGCCCTTGAATGCATAGATCATAAATTTAATTACCTATTGACCTAACCCTACAATAACTATAAAGAAATTTAGCACCAAATTTCTTACTGTTTTCTAAATTATGCTATCAAAGGCAACGATCCATCTTCAAAAACTTCCTTTTAAGGTTTTCTAAGAATCACTATTTTTCTTTCCTACTTTCATAAATTTCAAAGTTGATCAAAACTTTAATGATGTGTTCAATATTATAATTAATTTTGAAAATTTCTTTTATATGATTTGGCAATAGCATCTTACCATAATTTCAAATTTGTTAAGGAGGTTATTTATTGTATTTTTGATTCATTCTCTCAGTTTTAATAAAGGAAATATTATGTTTTAATTAGAAATCTCATTCACAACTATTACAATCAACTTTCTCTTTAAATTCTCAAGAATAATATATATGAGTTTTATTTAAATTATATCTAAAATAGTGCTTTATTTTGTTTAATGATTATATTCCTCAATTATAAATTTAGTTATCCGCTTCAAGACATAAGAATCATTAATAAGTATTTAAGTAGCCCTTCTAAGCATAATTTAACCACCATTTAAAAACTCTAAAAAATAATAATCATTTTGGATTTTCAATTTATTGGAAAACAATTAATTCTTTATGTTGAGTTTTCACTAATTTAGAGATTTTAGGAAGTTAACAATAACATAGATAATAAAGACTTAATGATATGCATAAACAATTTTCTAATATTGAAATATTGATGATACATATTGTTAAAACTATATGGTTGTTGTAAATTTCAATTTAATAGACATATTTAATTATTTTTATTCAATATTAAATATCTAATATTTCTATATTCATGACTATTCATGTTTAGTGGATCCACTTCTTCAATATTAGATTTATTTTAAGATTAAAACTTAATCATTTATATAATAATACATTTTTATCTTAAAATAAAATTACAACATTTCATATTAATTCAATATATGTAGTTAAATTATCAGAAGAGTTCTAATTGATTCTTAAAGAAGATTTATATTTATGTATGATGTACATTAAATAGGATAATTTAAGGAAGAATATTACCAAATTTTTTAACAACTATACTAATTATTAACATTATACTTACATCTGTTGAGATATCTACGCATAAGTACTTATTAATAAAATTTATAATAATATTTTACTAATACATGTTCCTATTATTATATAAAATTTTATAAATTAATTATAACACTTATCATATATAAATCAAAGTTATTTTTTATAATCAACATATCTAGCCCCTATTGCTGCATCTACTCAAACAGCTGGTAAAGCAATACCACCTCTAACTGAAATTGCAATTCCTTAAGCTATAGTAAATGCACTTCCTGCATCTAGCTCAACTGTAGAAAATCATAAATAACCAATCAAGCTTGAGTCAAAACAGTGCTGTTCCATTTAAAAACCTTTTAGATAGCTTCCCTACTTAATATTTTACCAAAAGCCAGGTTATTTTGACTTAATTTTGCTTTTAACTATTCCATATATAATTAATATTATTCTTTATATGATAAAAATGAAGCTTATAAAATTCAATATTTTAAAATTATTTCATCTTAATTTCACATAATTTCTAGCATCTTAATAATTTCTGTTGAATTCTTTAAATTATAAACAATCATTAATTACAACAGCGAAACCAGAATAGACCATTTTTTCTTTATTATACTAAAATACCTTTTGGATAATTGTAAATGAAAAATCATTTATCATTGTAAGATACTCAAGATCAATTTAAGTTATTATGATATTAATTTATATAGTCTATTCATCAATAATAAGGATAATGTAAAATGCTTTGGAGATTTATTCATTCAAATCATTTTGCAAAACAATTAATATTACATAGATTTTTTTGGTCATATATAAGGATTAGCATAACATATATATAATATAATTACTAAAAAAAACACCGTTCTAATAGTATATTCCAATCATGATACTTTAATAAGGATTAAGTTATCAAAGACTTTTAGAGATTAATGTGTCTAATTTTCATAAATAATCAATATAGAAATTTAATGGGAAATGAAAAATATAGTTTATAATGAATTTAATAGCTTAATTAATCCATATTCTAAAACCCATTAAAAGTGTCATCCAAAACCATGAGAAAATTTTAAATGACGTAAGAGATTTCTTTTCAATATAATATAAAATAAAATCAAGTTAACCTTAACATAAAAATGGACAGCAAAATTCATGAACTTTACATTATATAGATATTATTGAATTAATAGTTGTGACTGAATTACTGCAAATTCCAAAAAGATGAATACCCAAATCAAAGCCAATAAATGATTTAAAGTGATTTCGCTCGTAAATTTTATTTTAATCAAGAAAATGCTTAGTTTTAGAATTTTATTCATACACTTATTATTTAACTTATTCATTTCAAAGCATGAAACATAATTATAGCATAGAAGTGAGAAAAAGGTTTTCAAGTATCAAATATTATATAACCAGGATACTATTTTAATATAAGAAAGGATTGAATATTTGATTTAATAGGTCATTCTTAAGTTTTGGAGACTAATTAAATTTTTGTTAGATAAATATTCTAAAACTTGTAATTATTGATCGAAAAGGATTAGAGTTACTCATAGTTCCAAAAGAATATATATCCCATCATTATTCTGAAGTATATCTAATTAGATAAAACCTTTCTTTAAACCCATTAAAGATCATATTAAATTAGTTTTTGATAAATTTTATATAATCATAATAATAATAATATGTGTAATATGGTGTGTCACAACTCAGTTTTCTGTTTCTCAATACGTCAGTCGGTTTACCAAAGGGTTTGGGTTTTGGGTTTGGGTTTGGGTTTGGGTTTGGGTTTGGGTTTGGGTTTGGGTTTGGGGTTGGGTTTGGGGTTGGGTTTGGGTTTGGGGTTGGGGTTGGGGTTGGGG